CGCCCTGCCCAGCACCGCGGCCAGGGGCCGCCAGGCCCTCGCGGCCTCAGACTGGCCCGGCAGCTGCCGCCGCTTGACCAGCGCGTCCAGCGCGACGGTGCGGGGGCTCATGCCGTCGGTCCTGCCGCGGTGCTTCTCGCCTGCTGGCCCTTGAACGTCACTGGCAGCAGAGCTCATCCCCCGTATTCCTGAGACACTCTTGCCATGCCACTACAATGCCCAAGGTCGTGCCCCCCCCCTCTGCCCAGCTCCAGTTGTGGACGAGCGGCTCGAAGAGGTACCCCGCCTGCCTCGCCGTCAAGAACTCCCACCACTACAGGCGGACTTGGGCGGGCAGATCCAGCGAGAAGCCCGAGGCGCGCAGCTCGATCGGCGAGCGGGGGGGCGAGGGCGCCCCCGCGCGCGCCATCATCCGGCGCACGCAAGAGGCGAGCCCTCGCGACGCCACGCAAAAGTCCACCTCCCTCGGGGCCCCCGCGCTGGGGCGGCAGGTCGCGCCTCCCGCTGCAACCGCTGAGATCCCAAGGAGCTGCGCCCAGCGGGCGGCCCCCCCGTCGCTGGCGGGCATGTTCCCAGTCGCCGCCGATCACCCGCGGCGAGCGCAGCTCCGCCACCCATCGGCCCAGGCTGTGCAGGAGCGCGACGCCGTTGCCCCCGAAGCCGAGCCCGTCGAACAAGTAGACCGAGAAGAACCAAATCCCGCCCGGCACCGCCGCCTGAGCCTTGAGGCCCGCAATTCTGCCTGCCCACAGCTTGGCCAGCCCGTCCAAGTCATCGAACCTGTAGGTCGCGGCCGCGATGCGCTTGGCTGGCCGCGCGCGCCGCGATCCCCAAGCACGCGGCCAGCTTGCGCTTGCCCTTGACCAGACAAGGCGCGACCGCAGCGCTGTATCCCTGGAGCGCAAACCAGCTGGACACACTGCGCGACTCAGCGCTCGCGCGTCTCCTGACCTGCCAAGAAATGAGGCGGTGCAGTGACGCTGGTCGTGCGCTCCGCCAGCCTCCAGTCGACGACCGCCTGGAACGAATTGCGCCGCGTGCGGCTGGCCCACGCGTTGCCATTGGCAGAGCAGAAACGACAGACCGTTGCACTCGACGATCCCTGGCTGCCGCTAAACCCGTCGCTGCTTCCGAATGGTCGACTTGACCTTGAAGCCCTTGAGCTTGTCCTCGAGGGCCCTCTTGACCGCAGCGCGGCGCTTCTCGGGGTCTGCGTCCACGCCGCAGGCAGCGGTCTGCTCTGCGAACTCGATGATGCGACGCTGGGAATCTTCGTCGAGCCCCATCTCCTGGTCCCCTGCCGTGGGGTCTGCCGCAGCGGGGTCGCCATCATCAGAAGCAGCAGGAGCCGCAGCAGCGCCGACGGCGCCTGCACTCGCCTGCTCCTGCAGCAGGGCGATGAACTTCCCGAGGTTGCCCTGCTCCTTCTCGGCGGCGAGTCACTCGGCGAACCCTTCGCCGGCTGCCTGGCACTGCTCGGCGGAGAGCTCCAGGCTGAGCGCCGCGCCGTCACCGTACTGCTTCTGGAAGGTTGTCTTGGCCTCGCACTCCAAGGCGTGGACCGAAAGAGATGCCTCCACTGAGGCTGCTTCCGAAGCCGCCACCTCCTCGTCGAGCTTCTCCTTGGCCTTCTCGACCGCAACCTTCTTGGCCTCCAACGTCGCGTCGTCTTTGACCTTGGCCGCCCTAGCAAGCTGCAGCCGCTGGGTAACCGAGGCCTGCACGGCCTCAGGCGACTTGGTCTTGAGGACCAGCTCCTGCAGCTCTGAGACCTTGGTCTCGAAGAATTTCTTGTCTTCCTCGCTGGTAGCCCCCTTGGCGCAGCTGCGCCAGTGACTGATGCGAGCCTGCAAGTCCTTGGCGGGGTCCGAGACGATGCGGGTGTCCACCTCCTTTTCGGCCTCCGCGGCGCCCCCGCGGGAGAGCTGCCCCAGCGCCTTGGCAACCTGCGTCTGGACCAGCTTGGCGAGGTCCTTGGGCTGGCTCCAAGCGCCGCGTGGCCCCCCTGGCGCCGCAGCCCCGCCGGCCACCGCCTTCTCATGTGCTGCTTTGGCTGCCTTGCAGACAGCCGCTGGCGCTTGAGCCCCACAGACGCAGCGGACGCGCGAGGCCCAGTTCTCCGTGCGGCTGCACTTCCGCATCGCGGCCCGTTGGGCCCGAGGAGGACATTCTTGCCCTGCAGGAGGCACGCCGAAGAGTGAGGGATGAGGTCCCTCGACCTGCGGACAAGTGGGCGACCATGGCCTGGCAGCCACCTGAGGGTCCCCGAAAGAAAGAAGAAGGCGAAAGAGCAAGTGGGCGAGGCAAAGCCGCCTACCTACCCACCGCTCGCTAGCTCACTGTAAGCCACCTCGAGAAATGGATTACTTGAGCCAAAATGGCTTGAGCCAAAATGGCTACGGACCTCCTCCTCCTCCTCCTCCTCCTCCTCCTCCTCCTCCCTCCTCCTCTTCCTCCTCCTCCTCATCCTCCTCCTCCTCCTCCTCTCCTCCTCCTCCTCCTCCTCCTCCTCCTCCCTCCCCCTCCCCTCCCCCTCCCCCTCCCCCTCCCACCCCCACGCGGGCGGGCGCGCTCGGGCAGGCGAGCGGGCGGGCTCGAGCTGGGGACACGCCGCTGAACCCTGGACGTCTCCCGGGGCGCGCTCTGACCATCGGCGGCGGACGAACCTCCCTTTAGTAAACCTCCCCCTCGTGAAAACGGCCGAGGACCGAAACCGACGGACCCGGACCCGCCAAAAATGACGGCCGCGACGCCCGCTCGCGAACCGAGAACGGCCAATTCCTTAATCGACGTGTCAGGGCGCAGCGCCCCTTGCCCCCACTGGTCGCCTCTTCTATCGCCCCCGCGCCCTTCCACTCCTTGCTGGCAGAGGGGCGCTGGCCCCTGGTCTCGCGCCACGACCCTTCGTCCTCGGCGCCTCGGGGCCATCGCCACACCAACAACACCTGTTTCCTGGGCGCGACGAGGGACTCCCCAAGAGGCCCCTACAGGCGACGACGAGCGACACCGCCGATCCCTGGACGTCTCCCGGACCGCGCTCTGACCGCGCTCTGACCAGAGCTGCGAGGCGCTCCCAGCCGTGGCGGCGAGGAACTTCCAAGAGGCCCCGAGGGGGCGAGGACGTTGGAAGCGTGGGGATATCAGCACCTGTTCCTCCTTTGTCGGCACTGGGCGCGCCGGAGCCGCGTCCCGACGCGTTTAGCGCGCCTGCTCGATCTCGCTCGCACCTGGCGCGCTGCTCGCACGCTTGCCTGTAGTTGCAACTGTCTGCCCATGCGCGTTTGGCGTGTGGCAGCTTCGTTCGCTGCCGCCCCTGACTCAGGAGGCAACTACCGCGAGGTCTTCGTCGGAAGGACCAAGGAAGATTCAGTCTCATTGGGGAGCTGTTGCGCTGGAAGGGCCTCGGATTCGGCGGGATCAGGCGGGTTTGACCGGGATTGAGCGGCATTAGGCTGGGTCAGGCTGGATTAAGCTTTGGACGCCCGAAATGGGCACGGAAACAATGGGCACAATGCCCAACAGCAAATGTTGTCCCGAACCAACAGCGGCCGCTGTTGGGCAGGCGGCCTTCTGTCTCAAATGGACACAGGCCGTGGCAGCGTGGACAGCGAGTCCTGTTCAAAATGAACAGGAATTGCTGTTGGGCATTGCACCCATTCTTTCCGTACCCATTTCGGGCGTCCAGATCAGCCAGATTAAACAGGATTTCGGACCAGGGCAAACTCAGAATTTGCCCTTCCGAGAGTTGCATCCGAACCCGACGAACGGGCGGGTCGGGCGGCTCGGCGGGCGAGTCGGGCGAGCGGGGCACCGGGGCGGGCGGGCGGGCCGCGGAGCTGGCGGGCGGGCCCGGGCGAGCCGGGTCGGGTGCAGAGGAGCAGAAAGGGAGGGAGAGAAGTCTGAAGGGGCCCTGGGCCACACAGAGACATACACACAGGCAACAGGATTCCACACCTTTTCCCATACTTTCTGGGTTTTTGTCTCCCCCCCCCACGTCCCATAGTTTCCCATACTTTCCAGGGAATCGACGACTGAATTGTGTCTGTGGGCTTTTTCCCTCCTGAGAGAGAGAGAGAGAGAGAGATAGAAAAAAAAGAGAGAGAGAGAGAGAGAGAAAAAAAAGAGAGAGAGAGAGAGAGGGAGAGAGAGAGCAGGGAGATGCAGGACTTGGGTGCGGGGGACTCGGGTCGGCCCGTCGGGGGGTCAGCATAGAGAAATGGCCAGGCCCAAATCGGACGCTTGACGCGGGCTCCTGCTGCAGACGTCCCGCGAGAGCAGGGCCGCCAAAATCCAGGACGCGCTCGTCCACAAAAAAAAAGTCTCGGCAAGCCCGCGTTCCGGCTCACTCGAGTCCTACACCCTGCGAAATGCTTAAGAAATCATGGGTTAAGAAATTCATAGTCTCAGAACTGGAATAAAAACCCAACATTCCCATTCAAATCTTAGGATTTACATTGAAACATTAAGAATAATCGAGACTCTGGCCGAAAATTCAAGTTTTCTTAAGCATCGCCTAAGGTGTACGTTTCCTCCCCGAGGGATGCGGAGCGAGAGAGAGAGAGAGAGAGAGAGCACTTCGCAGCCAACGGGCCTGCAGAGGGGGCGGGGTACTTGGCAGGCAGACGGCCCAGAAACCACGTGGAGCACGGGCGGCACACGGCAGGGTCGATGAGCCATGTGAGAACTGAGAGCGGGAAGGCGCTGGGGGAATACAACAGGTGCGGACAACTGGAGAGGACGGGACGAGGCAATGAGCAGGCCGCACGAAAGCCTATAAACAAACGTCCCAACCACATCGGCACAGGGCCCTGAACTGGTGGATGCGGACGAGACGTGCCCACCTCTGAGGCGTACTTCCAACCCTCCTATGCCCTCCTGTCGGACCCTCTGCTGCCAGACCCCCTGCTCTTCGCCAGGCGCAGGTGGCCGAGACAAGATGGAAGCGGCTGGTGCGGCTGAACATCCAAGAATAATATCTGGTGGGAGACGGGTCGGCTGGCCTGTGTCTTGCTTGACGAGCTTGTCGAAAATCTCATTGGCACTCAGGTCCATCATGTCTTTGAGCTCCTCCGTGGCGCGTATCAAGTACAAAAGCGGTGGATGTACACACTGTAAACACACATATATAGAGAGAGAGATACAGGTATACGTACACATCTACCTACACACGTTCCCGCCCCCCGCCCTGAGATGCACCTCGGGGGGCGCGCGGGCGTTCCTCTATTGTGTAATATGCTGTGTGTCGCTTGCTCATGCGATTCTCAAAACAAACAACCTGTTCTGAGACTCCTCGGGCCGCCGCCTTGCCCTCCTCTCGCTTCTCCTCGGTGGTCCGGGTTCCGTGGGGGACGGCCAATCATCAACAGCATTAAGAACAAAACCATGCCATCGCGGCAGCGGTTGTGGGCTCGGATGCCCCCGCGACTGCTTGTCTCTTGTGGGGAAGTACAACCGGGATAAGTAGAGGGCAGAAAATCCACCCCCACAATAAGCACCCCGACAAACGAAGCCGTTTGGTAAACGCACCCACGGAAGAAATCGAACAGGGCAGGGCTGTTTAGTAAACGCCCAGGGCTGCTTAGTAAACGCGAATGGTCGGGGTCGGGGTGGGTTTTCCACCCTTGAATAAGACCCTGTGGCGAAGCGATGGTGGCCGGGGGCGGCGCCCTCCCTGGGGTCGGGGGCAGCGGCACGAAGCGGGCGAGCGTGCGGCAGAGCCTCCGACAAGTGGGCGGGGGGGTCTGGCTCCAGACCTCTGCTCGGCGCGACGGTTTGCAGCAGTCGCCCCAAACAGCCAGGCTCTGCTCCAAGGAAGGGGGGTCAGGGGGGTGGGGAGGGCCCGCGCCGATCGGCACTGCCGTGAGCATCAACCGATCGCAAAAACAAGCGATCGCAAGGAGGGATGGGCTCCTGCTTGTCCGCGCTGCCGCGCCGCTCTGGCGTGGCCGACGCCCAGGCGGAGGCCTTTGGGGGGGGAACCGCCAGCGACCCATTAGAACACAAATCGGGCGTGTGCCAACATGGACGACGGATCCAGGCGGAGGAGGAGGAGGGGGAGGAGGAGGAGGAGGAGGAGGAGGAGGAGGAGAAGAGGAGGGCCCTCCTCCTCCTCCTCTCCTCCCTCCCCCCTCCTCCTCCTCCTCTCCACCTCCTCCTCCTCCTCCCTCCTCCTCCTCTCCTCTCCCTCCTCCTCCTCTCTCCTCCTCCTCCTCCTCCTCCTCCTCCTCCTCCTCCTCCTCTCCCTCCTCCTCCCTCCCTCCTCTCCTCCCTCCTCCTCCTCCTCTCCTCCTCCTCTCCTCCTCCTCCTCCCTCCTCCTCCTCCTCCTCCTCCTCCTCCTCCTCCTTCCTCCTCCTCCTCCTCCTCCTCCTCCCTCCCCTCCCTCCTCCTCCTCCCCCTCCTCCTCCTCCTCCTCCTCCTCCTCCTCCTCCTCCTCCTCCCCCTCCTCCTCCTCCTCGGGGGCCCGCGGAGGCGCCGGCCTGGCCGTGCCCGTGCTGCCTACTTCTGCTGCGGGCGCCCTCGGCCTCGGACTCGCCGACGGCGCCCTCACGCGGCTCGATGGAGAGGGAGGGGGCCCACCCGCCCGCCAGCGGCGGACGCACCTCCTCCCCCCTCGAAGGCAACGTTTTGTGTGGGGGGGGCTTCTCGAGGAACAAATACCAGCATAAGCACAAACGTTTTCGCCATGGGGGAACCCGGTCCTGAAGGAGACGGGTCCTGAGATTTGTCGCTGTTGTCGGGCTCTCTTGGCCCTCTACGGGCCCCGGGACTGGCATACGACGGCTCAGGATGAAAATCTCCGCCTGGGGGAAGGCCCCAGGGTCCAGGACCCGTTTCCCTCAGGACCTGGGTCCCTCAGGCTAGTTCTCATCCCCCTTTCCTCCCTCCCCTGCTGCTCTTCTCTGGCTCTCGGCCACAAGACGGCTGCTCTTGCGCCAGTGGCAAGCAGGGCTCGGAAGGGGCTCTTATTTGCGGGCCGCTCCTGCGACCTGGGTCGTGGAGCCTCCTCGTGGCCGCGGCTCGCCGCGGCCAGAAAAGCCCCCTCGCTCCGTATTTGGCGCTCCTCGTGGTAGCGCGATGCCTCTCTTGACAGGAAGGGTCGGCATACAGGCTGGCCCGTTATGAAGGGGCCCACAAACACACGAATGAATACACACAAATAAGAGGATTCCCCATACTTTCCCTACATTTTCGGAGTTTTTGTCTTTCCCATATTCTCCCATATTTTCTGGGAAATCGACGGTTAATTGTGTCCGTGTGTTTTCTCTCCTCCTGAGTAATTATGCCCCGACCTCTGTCACTGGGCTCCTCTTGCGCTGGTCCACGTTTTCGTGTTCGGCGTGGCGGCACTGTGCGGGGGGGGGAGAGATGAGGGAGTGGGTCTGGCTCCTGACCTCTGCCTGCTGCCACTGTCTGCAGCTGTGTCGTTTTCTCCCCTCCTGATTGTTGCCCTCGACCGTCCGCGCATCCGCTCCAGGAGGCCCCGCATCCGTCCCAGGCAGGCCCGCCTCCGCAGCCCACCACACACCGCGCCGAGCGCCGGGCACGGCCCCCCCGCGACAACGGAGGATCCAGGATGGAGGGGTGCTGGGAGGAGGAGGAGGAGGAGGAGGAGAAAACAAAGAGTAAATCGAACGGCGTAGCAAAACATCAAGGGAGGAAACAGCACCCGGACCGGACAGTTGGCGTTGATACTGCACGGCCGTGGGCGTTTACTAAGCAGTCCTGCCCTGCCCCTGTGCCAAGAAGGGGGGGCCAGCGCTGATCCAAGAATCCGCGCAGAGCGCCAAAAGTTCATGGTTATACACATGTTTTCTTCGATGTCACAGCGTCGACCCCCAGAAGTCCCGACCCATTCCCACGGACCAGTTATCCTGAGTCGTTTTTGTTGTGTTCCGGGGCCCGGTAAGGTCCCCCCGAGGAAAACGAAAAAAGCGATCGAAACTCCCGTCGCAATTTTTGTCACAACGCGAGGGGGCCTGGCTCTACTCTTGGAAACGGAAAATTCACACTGGGACACCAGGAACGAGTACGGGGCGCAAATTCGCCCGTGGGCCCGGGGCCTGTCGCCGCTGTCGCCGCGACGTTCGTCGTCGCAGCCGTCGCCGTTGCCACCGTCGTCATCGCCGTCGGCGCCGACGCCGCCGTCGTCGTCGCCGTCGCCGTCGTCGCCGTCGTCGTCGCCGCGACGCCCGCGCATTCACGTCATTGCCAGCGGCGGGTCGCGCGCGGCCGCGCGCGCCATGGCACTCGCATTTCCGCTCCTCCGACGGGGGCCCAGGCGGACATCGTCTTGTTCCTTCCGCCCACAGCTTCTTGAAGATAAGAAGGGGGAAACTACGCCCCTGATACTCGCTGCGGTGACACTCGCCCGGCCGCCGACGGAATGAAGCGTGTCTGGCTGCTCGCCATCGCTCGGACGTCCATTCCCTGTGCTTTTTTCGGCTTCGTGCCTGGTTTCTTCGCCAAATGATCAAGGATGCTCCTCGATGGTCCCCACCGAAGGAAAAATGCACACGTCGGAAAGAAGCGTGTCTGGCCGGATCCTGGTTCGCCGCCCTGCCTGCTGGCGTGGTGCGGGCGCTGGCCGGCGGCTGCGCGCGCGCGGGCGCGCGCTCTCCCTCCCCGCCCCCCTTTCTCGTCTCTGCTCCCCTCTGAAGGGGCCCTGGGACACACAAATAAATACACACAAATAAGAAGATGTACCATATTCTCACATATGTTCTGGGTTTTTGTCTTCCCCCCAACTTCCCATATTCTCGCATATTTCCTGGGGAATCGACGATGAATTGTGTCTGTGTGTTTTTCTCCTCCTGAGTAATTATGCCCCGACCTCTGTCACTGGGCTCCTCTTGCGCTGGTCCACGTTTTCGTGTTCGGCGTGGCGGCACTGTGCGGGGGGGGGAGAGATGAGGGAGTGGGTCTGGCTCCTGACCTCTGCCTGCTGCCACTGTCTGCAGCTGTGCCTCTTTGGAGGGAGACTCCACCTGCCTGAAGCAGGCGCCAGAAACAGCCAAGATCTGCTCCACGAGAGGGGGAGGGAGGGAGGGGCGAGATCGGCCAAACAATGAATAAGAGAACGAACACCTTGCAGAACAGACTGTGAGGATGTCTCAACCGAGCCACTGGTCGCGACGTTCCAAGGGAGGACCGCCGCGTGTGGTCGAACAGCCCCGCTCGCGGCCGGAGCGCAGGAGTGTCTCAGGCTGTCTGACTGTTCGGCTGCCTGGAGTTGTGAGCTGCTTGGGACGTCTGGTCCCAGACATGCGGCATCCTGATTCTTTTTTCAGCACAGCGTCCCCGGAAGTCCAAACCCTCTCCCCAGGGTCTGTTTTTCATCCCGAGCCGTTCTTTGACAGCCCCAGGGCCCGGCGAGGGCCGCCAGGGGCCGAAAACAATGAAAAACTTGCCGCCCTGATTTTTTACGACGCGATCATTCGGGGATGGACAGAACCTCCTTTAGCAAACCGTGGCTTCGTGAAAGCGACCTCGGGCCCAAACCTGGCGGGCGCAGGCCTGGAAAATGACGGCCGCGGCGCCCTCTCGAGAACCGAAAACGGACAATTCACTGATCGACGTATCAGGGTGGGAGGTCTGTCCACCCCCGAATCTCGGGCCGGGCGGAAGGGGGGGATAGCAAAGGGGGGGGTGAGAATCAGCTCACGTAGCTGACCTTCCCGGCGCCTCCCGGCGCCGGAGGCGGCCATGTATCGAGGAAGGGGCCCCTTGGTGGGGCCGAAGCCAGCTGCATGCAGCAAGTTTCGTACCCCCCCCCTTTCCCAATCCCCCCCTTTCTCGGAAACTGGAACTATACATTACCAGTGGCGGGCTGTTTTTCAATCCCAGGATTTCTTAAGGGTCAGGGGCGACGCTGGGGTGGTGTGATGTATACTTTTTCCCCGATGTCCCAAGGAAGCGACGAAAAATGTGTACACCCGGATCCCGTATACACCAGAATCCGCGTTCCTGTGCGAACTTCGGCGCAGGGTCGGGAAAAGCGTCGGTGTATAGAGTTCGGTTTCCTACTTTAGCGGAACAAGGAGTGACATAATTATAAAAACTCGGAGGTCCGCGCGGACTTCTCGGATCGGCGCTGGACCCCCCTCCCTGGCGCGCTCCGCGCGCCAGGGGCGGCGCCGGAGGCGCCGCCGGGGGGCCCCAGCGCCGATCCGAGAAATTCGCGCGGACCTCCGAGTTTTCATGTTTATGTCACTTTTTGTTCCCCCACCCTTTCCTCGCCACTCGAGTTTCGGCACCTTTTTTGGCGCTCGACATTCTTTCGGGTGGTCAGGGCTAAAGTAGGTTGGAGCATCATAAGCCTGGGGTGGGATCTTGCCCTTACCACTAACCGGGTCCCCTTACGGCAGGTTCGCGTCGTGTCGAACCCGGCGTTGGTTTCTGACACCGCGGGGATCGTTCAACCTTGAACGATCGGCCGTTTCAGAAACGTCCGATCGTTCAACATCGATCGATTCTGGGTCGCCGGCGGCGTTCAACCTTGAACGCCCGCGCTGGGGTCGCCGCTGGTCGACACGACGCAAACCTACCGTACCCGGGGTCCTGGCGATGCCCGACATGCCTGGGGTGGGATCTTGCCCAGGCCCCTCCGCCGGGCCTTCGCGGGCGCCGGGGCGGGCGTCGCCGACTCGGGCGGCTCGGCCTGCGGGGCGCCCCCTTGCCGGCCCACCCGCCCTCGCCGCGGTCCTCCACCTCCTCCTCCTCCTCCTCCTCCTCCTCCTCCTCCTCCTCCTCCTCCTCCTCCCCCTCCTCCTCCCCCTCCTCCTCCTCCTCCTCCTCCTCCTCCTCCCCCTCCTCCTCCTCCTCCTCCTCCTCCTCCTCCTTCTCCTCCTCCTGCTGCTGCTCCTCATCCTCCTCCTCCTCCTCCTCCTCCGCGAAGGGGCCCTGCGACACACCAAGAAGTAGACACAAGCAACTAGACTCCCATATTATATATACACATATATATACATATATATACATATATATATATATATAAGTATTTTTCCGATGTTTTCTGGGTTAGTCAGTCAATCAGTCAGTCACGCCGGCGGGCGCGGAATCTCGCCCGGCTCCGCCGGGGAACACATTGGAACTGACTGCGCGACGCTTGCTCTGCTGTGAAGGGGCGGCGCGCGCTCCAGGCAGGTGCTCGGCGCCCTTTCTCTGGCCCGCGTGCATCGCGTCGCTGTCGACGCGTTCGTCGCGGCCCAGGCGCGCCCAGTGGCTCGGCGCGCGAAGGAGTTGCGCCTCTCGGCGCCAGGGCCCGCTCGGCCGCGGCAGCAGCGCGGCCCCGCGGCCCAAGGGGGGGAAGGCGAGGGGGCGAGCTACATCGGGGAAGGCGACCCGCTGGAACAGGGCAAAAACCCACGCGCCACGCCCACGTGGACCAGCGGCTTCCAGGGTGCCGGCGCGGACGGGCCGTCCACGGCGCGGCGAGCTGGAGCGAGGGCGAACTGCGCTGCGCTGCGCATGGGGACCTACAAACATGCCGGGAATGTGAGTGGGGCGCGGCGCCCCGCGCGGAGCGGCTCTGGAGACGCAGTCGGGCCCTGGCGGCGCAGGCCGGGAGGCCGCCTTCAAAACGTCTGCCAACGAGGCGCGAAACCGGCCCCGGCGGAGTGGTGCACCGGACAAATGCTGCAGGGAAAACGCACCAAGAAAATAGGCACCAATCGAAAACGCATTGAAAAACATCCGCCAATCCCCAAAAACGCCAGAATCGACAAAGATTTTCGCCTGGAGAAGGGGGGGGGCACGACCGCGGGCACCGATGCTGATGCCACGACTCGGAAAAGGAAGTGGGGCGGCGACGACAGCGTCGCAAGAAACAGTCTGCACCGACGTCGCGACAGTAGAACATTCTGCCGCGCCACACACCTGCGCTACAATTCTCGGCGCCCCCCTGTGAAGTTCCAAAGATATCGCAGTGGTCGGACGAGCGCATCGCCAGATGCATGGCGTGCTTCGAGATGCCGGCCTGGGAGTCACGCGGAGACTCCCGCGCGGTGCCCTCGCGCAACAATTCGCCGCCCTCTGCGCCCAGCAGAGGGAGGGAGGGAGGGAGTGGAGGGGAGGGAAGGGGAGGGGAGGGAGGGGAGGGGAGGGGAGGGGAGGGAGGGGAGGGGAGGGGCTGCGCCCCCCTCGAGCTGCGCCGCGCAGGGCGGCCCCACCGGCGCCGCGCCCTCGGGCCCGGGCCCCTCGCCCCGCGCGCCGCGCGGCGGCCGGCACCCAACTCGGCGCAGCCACTCGGCGAGCAGCAGACTCACTGGCGACGCCACGGAAGCACGAGGCAACATGCGGTGCGGCACCCGCTCGGCTGAGCCCCAGGCAGTCCGCGCGCCGGGCGAGCGCCGCGCACTGCCGGGCCCAGGGGCGCTCTCGAGGCAACACGCTTGCAGGAGGCGGCTTCTCTTTCTCCAGGATGAGACTGGTCGTTCAAGTCACCTGCCATGCAGATGTTTCGGCGCCGCCCCCCAGGAGCATCGGGCGCCTGCTGTTAAACAACCGTTGCAATTTAGCGCATTCGCGTGCGGGTCTCCCGCGCGCGGCATGGAACTATGCAGAACACGTCCGAAGAATGCCACTGCTAACAACGTCGACTGCGAGCGCCCGGTCATGACGCGAACGCGCGGCTGTGGCACCACCCGCGCGCTGAGCATGCAAGACAACAACCGCCCCGACGTATCTAAACGCACCTGCTGCCGCCATGGAGCGGTGGCCCCGCCGAAACGAGTGTCATCCGACGCAACGCGGGCCGCGCTAAAACAGACAACCTCCCCCCAAGCAAAAGCCACATCTATCAATTATACATATATATAACAAATGCGTGCGCTGTTACCGTAAACGTTGATCTTCACATACATGTTGGCTTCTGGTGAAACGTGTCCTTTGCCCGTAGACCGGTGTTGTTCCTAGCTGCGACCGTCTGCGGGTGCCGGGGAATGTGGAGGACGAACCAGATCTCCAACTCGCTGTCGCCGTTGCGCCTTATATAGGTATATATACAATATATACATATATATATATATATATACACATACGTATCTATCAATGTCTGCGCCCCTCCCAACGCCGGCCGCCGCACTTGCCTATGCCGCCGCGCAGGAATTTGTCCGAGCGCGTCATTACAATCCTTGCCACTCCAATCCGTGTTACACGTGTTGGGGTACTGCTCCCAGTCGCCGCCGTACTTGATGTTCAAAGCTCCCGTCGTCGCACTTCCCTCCATCACGGGGTCGGGCCCCGTACTGATCGCCCCAAATTCCAAGTCCACCCAGATCGCTTCCTTCTCGACGCCCCACGAGACGAACAACTTCGTCGCGCCGAACAAACCGAATTGGGCACCCGGACCTCAGAGAGGAGCATCCGCCTGTGCCCAAACTGGCTCGTCCTTCAAAAGACGCGGGCGGCTCGGAGCTTCGATGCTCAAACTTGCCGAAAAGAAGGCCCGATGAGTCTCCTTCTGAACAGAACTCGCCGGCGGCCATGCAGAGCACTGCGCCGCCAAGTCTGGTCTTCCAGCCATGGGCTCTGCCTCCGCCTGGCCGCTAAGACCGAAAGGCTTGCCAAACATGGCGGTCTCCTGATTGGAGGTGGCGCCAGTGGAACCGATGGAGCCAGCGGCGCTCCCCAGCTCCCCGATCTCGACCTCCAACGCCAGGATGCGGCTCATGACATCCTCGTGAACGCTCGGTGGGGCCTTGGGGGCCTCCAGATTATCCAATTCGGTGATGCGGATCTCGCCGTTCTCTATTCGTTCCCCCACCCCTGCCATTTTCGTGCCGAGGCGATGATCAAGGCTTTCGATGGCAGTCCGCCAGGTTGAACCTCTTGTCTCAACAAGTGCATTATCTCATGTAGCGCTGGCTGGCCTGGTGCGCCCGCATTGACTGCGTCTGGAGGCGTGTCTGGGATCTGCGGCGGCGGCGTGCTGGTACTGTGCTCGACTGAGCCATCGCCAATTTCGTTGAGTGGGATAAGTAAGCGGCGGCGAGCGTCGCGCCTGAGAACTGCTCAAACTGGTGTCCCTGGCGCCCGCACTGCCATCGGAGGATCGGAGGATCGGGGGGTGAGGTCGAAGTGATGTAGGAATGGATGGGCATGTTAGGATTGACGGGGCAAGCCTTGAGGGCGCCTTCAGCCTCGAGTGGCGACAGCAACCCTCAAAAGCTCTCGAATGTAGCGACGGTTTTGCAGTTCACAGCCTCCCAGCGACCCCCCAAGCAGGACGGCGAGGCAGGAGGTGAGACGCAAAAGGGGCAGGAGGAGAAGGAGGGAAGAGAGGAGGAGGGAGGCGGAAGAAGGTCGCGATCGCAGTGCTCTGCGCAGGAGGGTTGGGGGAAAATCGGGAGGCGGGCAATAAAAAGGTACGTAGCACCCCGCAGATGCGGATAAGAAAGAGGGGGCGGTGGGGGACGTCGGCGGTCTGCGAGACTCCGGAGAAACCCACCGCAGGCGCCAAAGTTTCACAAATTATACAACGAGCCCGCCGCAGGCGCCGATTTTTTCTTCAAATCAATGTGGATCGGTCGCGGGTGGGTCGCGGGTGGGTGGCGGGGTGGGTCGCGGATGGGTCGCGGGGTGGGTCGCGGGAGGGTCGCGGGGTGGGTCGCGGATGGGTCGCGGTGTGGGTCGCGGGGCGCGTCGCGGAGTGGGTCGCGGGGTGGGTCGCGGGGTGGGTCGCGTTGTGGGTCGCGGGGTGGGTCGCGGGGTCGGTCGCGGGGTGGATCGTGGGGTGGGTCGCGGGGCGGGTCGCGGGGGGGGGCGACGACAACAACAACAACAACAACAGCAACAACAACAACAACAACAACGACGACGACGACGACGACGACGACGACGACAACGACAACGACAACGACAACGACAACAACAACAACGACAACAACAACAACACCAACAACAACAACAACAACAACCACAACAACAACAACAGCAACAACAACAATCATTTTAAGACTGTTCGCCCTTATCTGCTCGAGTGTCCAATAACGCGTATTTCCCAAACCCTCGATACCCGCCCTCTTCGTCTTCGATCGAACTCCTTTTGGGGGTATACCTTTTTTTCCCTGCAGGCCGGGCCCCGGCAAGCGGCGGGGCGGCCGCGGACCGTCGGCCTGGCCAGCGGCAGCGCTGATCGGCGGGGCGGCCGCGGACCGTCGACCCGACCCCAAGAGGGGCGGACAGGGGTCCAACCACGACGATGACGACGACGACGACGACGACGACGACAGTGACGACGACGACGACGGCGACGACGAGCGAAAGCGAGAGCGAGAGAGAACGACAGCAGGGCCACAAGGACAGGAAGTAGGCCACGAAAGGCGACAGCGGGGACACGAAGGGACTGCGTATGGGGCCACGAAAATCGCGAACGAACGTGGTCCACGATGGGCATACGCATACTGGGCCGCGGAGGGCAAGGACGGGGCCACTGAGGGCAGCGAGGGGGCCACGAAGGGCAGCCAGGGGGCCACGAAGGGCGACAGCGGAGCCACGAAGGGCAGGAAGGGGGCCACGAAGGGCGACAACGGGGCCTTAAGTGCATGCGCATGGGGCCACGACGGGCGCGAACGATCGGGGGCCACGAAGGGCAGATCATGCGGGGCCACAGAAGGCAACGACGGGGCCACTGAAGGTAGCAACTGGGCCACGTAGGACAGTGAGGGGGCCACAAACGGCGACAGCGGGGCCACGAAGGGCATGCACATAGGGCCACAACGAGAGCGAACGAACGGGGTCCACGAAGGGCATACGTAATTATCCTGGGCCGCGGAGGGCAAGGACGGGGCCACTGATGGCAGCAACGGGGCCACGAAGGGCAGCGAGGGGGCCACGAAGAGCGACAGCGGGGCCACGAAAGGCATGCATACGGGGCCACGACGGGCGCGAACGAGCGGGGGCCACGAAGGGCAGACATATATGGGGCCACGAAAAGCAGCGAGGGGGGCACGAAGGGCAGCGAGGGGGCCGCGAAGGGTTGCAAGAGGGCCACGAAGCGCTGCGACGGGGCCACGAAGGGCAGCGAGGGGACCACGAAGGGCTACAACGGGGCCACGAAACAAAGCGAGGGGCCCACGGGAAGGGCATGCACACGGGGCCACGAAGGGCAGCGAGGAGGCCACGAGGGGCTGCGACGGGGCCGCGAAGGGCAGCGAGGGGGCCACGAAACAAAGCGAGGGGGCCACGAAGGGCTGCAACGGGGCCACGACGGGCAGCGATATCCCGATTCTTAGGTAATCTTTGAGGGAGTCCTAAACGTGAGCGCGACTCCTGGGTGCCTGGGTGTCGGGAGCGCGGCGCTTGAGTAAACTACAAGAATTTCCAGCGCAAGGACGCTATTTTGCAGTAGATTGCAAGCGAGTCTCCAGCGAGAGCGCGACTCCAGAGCGCCGGGAGAGCGATTCCGGAATAAATTGTAAAGAAATCCCAAGCGAGAGCGTGATTCCTGCATAACATGCAAGTAAATCTCGGGCGGGAGCGGGGGTCCTGGCTAAATTGTGAGGAAGTCTCAGGCGGGAGCCGATGTTGTTGTAACCCGGGGGCCAACGACACAATTTGACGCTCAAGACTTTCCCTGATAACAAAACAGGGTGCGAGTCCCGGGAAGGGCACTTCAATCGAAAAACAAACAATGTGCACCGGACGGAGGGGATCAACAGTAATTATTCTTCAGAAGTGAAAGTTCAACAACAAAAACACGAACAGCACGAACAACAACAACAACAACAAAAACAACAACAACAACAACAACAACAACAACAACAGCAGCAACAACAACAACACGAACAACAACAACACGAACAACAACAACACGAACAACAACAACAACAACAACAACAACAACAACAACAACAATTACTAGCACGTGGGGACACTCCGTTCTCACCAGTGCCAGGGTTTTCGTAGGAGGCGGGCAATGCCCCCACTTTGTGGGGGGGCCGGTTCAAGCTCTACCAAATTTCCAAACGACCCTTCGCCACCACCCACACCCAGCTTCCCGCCCTATGACGTTCGGACACTTCACTTCGTGGCATGCGGACGACCGTGGCTACTATTCAGGGCCCCGCGGCCGACGACGACGGCGTGCGCGCGCGAAGAAAAAACGAATGTGTCCCGCATGGTATTATTTGACAGGGATGATGGCCCTGGCAGGTGCGCAACCGTTGTCGCAGAAGTTCGAAAAAGTTGCTCGCAAAAGCCCGTTTGACAGAAATGTTTAAAAAGTGTTGGGTTTCCTACGAATCCGCAAGAGCGCGCGGGATGAAATTTTGACAATTTTTTGTTGAAAAACCATTGGTTTTTTGATGTTTTTATGTTAAAATCGCTACGAAAACTAAGGTTTTGGAAGGATTTCGTCTTGCGCGCGCGAATGTCCACTTTACCTTATTTTTTGCAAGGGATTCTTGAAGTTTGGTTATGTTAGAACAAGAAATGTCCACTTTAGCTTATTTTTTGCAAGGGAAAACCGATCGTAACAACACAACCGGATCTGGATGACATCGTTTTACCTGAGACCTCCTCACGAAAATGATGAAAATGTGGCTGCGGCCTAGGCGCGGCGGGGGGGCCATGCACCAGGGGCCCCAACAATAATTATTCTTTAGAAGTGATAATGTTCAACAACAACAACAACAACAACAATAACAACAACAACACCAACACCAACACCAACACCAACACCAACAACAACAACAACAATAATAACAATAACAATAACAACAACAAGCAAAACCCGCATTACGGATTCTCACTGAAGCCACGCACCCAGGGACAATGAATAACCGTTCGGCCCCCTCTCTCTGACTCAGGAGCGCGGGAAGGGGGCGAAGACGGGGAAGGAGATGGGCAACTGAAGTACGGTAGGTGACGCGCGACAACGGGGGGGGGAATGCGGAGTAAAAAGGAGAGACAAAAGGACAACAAAAACGAGAAGGACACGAGGAGGGGGACGCCAGCTACACACCTACACCGATCCTGGCCAGGCTCATGCCGGGCCCAAAATGGGCACATGCGCTCCTGACTCGGGCAGGGAGGGGTGAAAAGCGATCCTGGACCCAGGATCGGTCTTGCCGAGATCGGTGCGGACGCAAGTACAGCTGGCGCCCCCCGAACAATGGGGCGGGACACTATAGGAGGCGGGAAGGCCGCAAGCCCACCTCCAGCAGATTCTCCAGCGACGCGTCTCGTCCTGCGGAGCGGGGCGACGGAGAGAAGCCTCTGCAGCCCCCCCCCGCCGTTGCGTCTGTCGTCGCCGCCGGTCATGGGCGAGAAACGGAGCCGAATCCGCGGCCTCTTGGGCCGGAGCCCTGGGCCGCGGCAGCGCGGATGCGTGGCGTTACCTCTCGGATGCCCCGCGTGGAACGTATCCGCGCGACCGCGTATCGGGGGGGATCGCATTCTCGGAATGTAGACCGCGAGGGCGTGGATACGGATATAGGTTCGCAGCTCGCGTGCCGGCGCCGAGCCACCGCCGTCGCCGAGGCGCAGCAGCTGCGGAAAGCGTGCAAACACCTCAGTGAAAAAAAGCAAGGGTAAAAGGGCTTGACCATGAGGGAATAGGCTGGGAACCCTACATCGGCGACGTATCGAGGCATCCCACAACTCATCCCTTGACGGCGAGCAAGACGAGAAGTAAGAGAGACGCACTGGGATCGAAAGATGGACAGCGTCGGATATAGCGTTCGCTGTACAGCCTCCCCTGAAACCTCGTTTTGCAACAACAAAAAAAACACCTCGCCGCCGCCGTCGCCGCCTCCTCTGGCCGGCTCGCGGCGCCCGCGCGCGCGCTGTTCTCGCCCTTGCGGGCGTCGGCAGACCAAGAACGGCGCGCGAGGCCCCACGGACTGCCCCATGACGGCCCAAGAGGCCCCCGAGAGGGCAGCAACGAAGACCCCTAAGAGGCCCCCCGGGGGGCCAAGGAGAGGGCCTTTAAGAGAGGGACGGGGGAGCCCGCAGGGACCCCAGGAGCCCTCCCGCACAAGATTTACCAGCCTCGAACTTATCCCTATCCCTAAGATCGACACCCCAAAAGGCGATGGCAATCTTAGGGATGCGCCCTGAAAAACTAAGGGAACCCCTAAGATTGGCATCGTGATGAGGAGATGCCCAGCATAGGGATAGGGATATGTTCCAGGCTGGTAAAAGATTTCCCGCAGGACCCCAGCATGACACCAAGAGGCCCGCAAGAAGCTCCCAGAGGGCCCCCAAAGACCCCAGAAGCCTTCTGGGGAAACGCGGGCGCTCCTTGGGCCTCCAAGAGGTTCCCAAGAGACACGGATGAAGAGGAGGACGAATCGGCAACAACTACACGCACGCCGGAAGACGGGCAATCGCAATCAACGCGCACGAAATCGGACACCGCACATTTTCTCTTCTGGGGGTCGGCGCCCCAGGACGACCCAAGGGGCCGCCCAAGAGGCCCCAAGATTGCACACGAGGACCCCAAGGCGGCCCAAGAGGCCCTCAGGATTGCCCAAGAAGGGCCCAATAGGAGGAGCCCGAACAAAACTGTTCGAGCCCTCCGTCCCAAGAGGCCCCACAGGAGGCCCCAAGAGCCCCAAGAAACCCCAAGAGGCCCCCAAGAGGCCAGAAGACGCCCCCGAGAGACTTCAGTGGTGCCCGTCTTCGCCTCGTCCAGCGAGAACCGGAGTGCGCGGGCGGTGAACGCGAAGCGTCTTGAGGCGAGGAACAACACAACGCGGGCCGACACAGATCAGAGTGTCGGGGACTTCGGCAGATGGCGCACAAGAACAGACCGATACCAATCTTCACTGGACATCCTCCAGGGTGCGTGCTCTTCGAGGGACTATAAGATGACTTACGCATCAGCTTTCGGATTTCTTGGATCGGCGCTGGTACCCCTCCCTGGCGCGCGGAGCTCGCCAGAGGGGCTCCAGCGCCGAGCCGAGCAACCCGCTCGGACCTCCAAACATTTGTGCTCATGCCACTGCTCGTTTCCCGGAATGTCTGACCATCCTGTCAGGGGGAACCTGGCCGTGGCCACGAGCAAGCAGCGGCGCCGGCACCCTGTCATGGCCCCGAGATGTCGAGGCGCGGCAGCCGGGGACAAAAAAACCCGAGTTCTCGCCGGACCACGGCAGCGCCGCGCGGGCCACGAGACCGGCCGCGCCGTGGGCAGACGCTCCACGAGGATGCGTGGCAGCCGCCGCCCGCTCGCATATTACACCCCGCGAAATGCTTAAGAAATCATGGGTTAAGAAATTCATAGTCTCAGAACTCGAGTAATAACCCAACATTCCAATTAAACTCTTAAGATTTACATTGAAACGTTAAGAATAATCGAGACTCTGGCCGAAAACTTAGGTTTTCTTAAGCATCGCCTAAGGTGTATGCCGCGCGGCACCGTTGGCGCCTGCAAACAACAAGCTTTCTCGGCGGGCGCCGCCGCTCGACGGGCGCCGCCGCTCGGCGAGCAGCAGTGCGGCCGGCCGCGGGCGGCGGGCGGCGGGCCGCGGCGTCCTGGCGGCGTGCTCTCGGGCTCGGAGGGCGCGCGGGGGGGCTCGGAGGGCGCGCTGGGCTGCGCCGGCTGCGCCTGGAGGTGTGCGGCGGCTCCCCCACCGCCCCGGGCTGGCCGAGGAGGAGGGGGGGGAACACAAACCTACCTTGGGACGCACATGGACATACTAATACTATATGTCCTCCTTGGAGGCGCGCGTCCGACCCGAACATATAGTATACCCATCTTGTAGTAGATCGTTTCCCGAGCGGTGTGGCCAGGAAGCGCCCGCCACGACGCATATACTATAAGATTTCTCGGTGCGCGCGTCGCCCCTGGGGGGGCGACGCACATGTAGTATAAGTATGTTTGGGTGTTGCCGATATACCTCGCTTTTGACCACCCTCGCTTCCAAGAGGTACCAAGCGATGCCAAACTACGGCCTGTGCTGGTCAGGTCGCTTGACGAGGAGGCGCGTGGTGTGACTTGGTTTTTCCTGGAAGCGAAAGCGGGGGAGGTAGTTCACGCTCTGAAGGAGGGCATTCGGCGGTGGACAAACCTCCCTTTAGAAAACCTCCCCTTGGAAAAAACGGCCTGGGACCGAATCTGCCGGACCCGGGCCCGCAAAAATGACGGCCGCGACGCCCTCTCGCGAACCGACAACGGCCAATTCCTTAATCGACGTGTCAGGGTAGGAGGTCAGTCCACCCCCGAGGCATCGGCCAGGGATCGGTTACGCAGCCGAAAGGGGGGGATAGCAAAGAGGGGGTTTGAGAATCAGCTCACGTAGCTGATTTTCCGGCGCCTCCCGCCGCTGGAGGCGATAATGTATCGAAGAATGGGCCACTCGGTGAGGCCGAAACCAGCTGCATGCAGCAAATTTTGTAACCCCCCCTTTCCCAATCCCCTCCGGCCCGACATAGGCAGCGCAAAACCAGGATTACGTCCAGCATGTCCCCCCACAGCCGGATTCTGGCTGGAAAAATAGCAATATTCCAAACATACCCCCGGGTCGGGCGAAAGGGGGGGATAGCAAAAGGGGTGTCTGAGAATCAGCTCACATAGCTGATTTTCCCGGCGCCTCCCGGCGACGGGAGGCGGCGCCGGGAGGCGGCTATGTATCGAGGAATGGGCCCCTCGGTGGGGCCGAAACCAGCTGCATGCAGCAGATTTCGTACCCCCCCTCCCTATCCCCCCCTTTCGTTCGGCCCGATACTCCCAAATGGTCCAACAAAAACAAGACTCGCAAAAATCGTCCCTGGACAATTTTTGGGGACTACATCCCCAGGCCGAAAGTTTTTTCCTCTTGGACTAAAATATGAAAACATCGACGGATCCAATTGGATCCCTTTTCGGGTGTGGGAGAGTTTCGTGGATCCTATTTCTGTGTTGCGCGGATCCAATTTCCTGTGTGCGAGAAAATCGGTGGATCCATTTATTTCCCGGGAATAAATATATAATAATAATTAACATCCGGGACCCAGGGGAAATTGGATCCGCGGAACACCGCACGTGAAGCATCATGCTACCTCCCCAGTATCCACGGAGCTGTGGATCTGAAGAACCACGCTATGATTCTACGGGGGAGGGGGGGTCCTCCCAGAATGACGAGGGGAAGGATGAGGGAAAAAGGCAAGAGGAGGCGGGAGGAGAACAGAGGGGACGCAAGGGGGGGGAGAGGGGGAACAATCAGGGAAGAAAGGGGGGGAGGAGGAAGGAAGAGGAGGAAGGAAGAGGAGAAGGAGGAGGAGAAGGGGGATGAGGGAGGAGGGAGGGGAGAGGAGGGAGGCGGACGGACGAAGGAGGAAGGAGGAGGAGGGAGGAGGCGGGAGGAGGAGGGGGGAAGTGGGAGGAGGAGGGGGAACGGAAGTGATGAGGGAGGGCGAGGACACACAAGCAAAGTGTCCAAGTCGGATGCTCGAGCGCCACAGCGGGCCCGGCCACCTCCCTTGACTTCTCCCACAACATGCGGTTGCTCGAGCGCCGCCGCGGGCCTGGCCATCTCCCGAAAATCCTCCCATAACATAAGTTTGCTCGAACGCCACAGCGGGCCCGGCCAACTCCCGCATCTTCACCCATAACACATCTACCCCACCTCGAAGCGAGCGCTACATGTATCCGCTCACCTGAACGGCGCGTCGCTTCCGACATGTGGGGCTCAAGAGGAAAATCTTTCGGCCTGTGGAAGTATTCTGAGCTAGGGAACAAGAACTTGGGGACTATTCTGGGCTACTGTTGGGAACAATTCTGAGCTATGTTGGGGGACTATTCTGACTATTTTTGGGGACTACTTTTTGGAGAGCATAAAATCGTCCCCGAACAAAATCCCTCCTGTGGAGGGACGTGCCCGACTCCAAGCTAGGAGCGGAGGGGCCGTCGCCCTCGCTTTCTCTCCCCCCCCCCTGGGGCCCTGCCGTCGCGCGCCGGCTGCGTGCAGGAGGCACTGTCCTGACGACAGCCCGAGGATAAATCCAACACAAAAAAGACATCGGCCAGGAATCTCGGGCTGGGCAAAAAGGGGGGGGATAGCAAAGGGGGGGCTTGAGAAGCAGCTCGCGTAGCAAGGGGGGGCGTGAGAGGCAGCAGTGTATCGAGGAATGGCCCCCTCGGTGGGGCCGACACCAGCTGCATGCAGCAGATGTCGTAACCCTCGCGCCAGGAAGGGAGGGGGTCCCAGGGGGGGGATCCTGGGGTGGTGCTGGGGGGGTCGCCCCCAAGATACGCTGTCCCCGCGCTCCCAGCGGGTTCCAGAGCTCCCACGAAGGAAAGAGCTGATAATTAATGGGAGACACGGGAGGATGCTCGAAGTGGTCTTTGAGTGCTTACGCACAGGTGGGTTCTACGAGCTTCTCTGTGGTTCTGCGGGGTCCAGGGCAAGATTGAGGATGAGCAGGAAGATTGAGGCTTGAGGAAATTAGATCGGGGGGACTCTATGGGGTTCCTGGGGCTGTCAACGGCTCTGGAAAGACATCCTTTGGCATGCCTTGGCTGGATCGAATCGCGAAATCGGATCGGATCGCCGGCGGATCCTCCCCAATCGGATTGAAACCGGATCGCCCCGCCTGGCTCTGGCTGGCCCCAGCCCATGCCGGTGAGTTGGTCCGGATCGAATCGGATCGCAATCGCGGCCCCAGGCGGCGAATCGAGTCGCATCGAATCTGCTCGTAGGTTTAAGTCGGGTCTGTCCCCCGACATGGGGATTTTGGATGAAAAATTGAAGTAGTCAAAAAATACTCCAAAATGGTAATCCCACCAGCCCTTTGGGCGTGAGTGGTTTAGAGAGCCCGCTCTGTTCTCAACCCCCTTCTTCCCCTTCGGGGAGGGGTTTACCCCTCCCCCTACCCCCTCCCCCTGGGCTTGGAGAGGGCGTCTCGCGGGTCGTTGGAGGGGTCTTTTTCGACTCCTGGGAGGGCTAAAATTCGACACCCCTCACGAGGATTCTGGCCCCGACGGGGGGAGGCAGAAAAATGCTCGCCCCATCTGTGATCGATCGCCCGACAGATGGCCCCAAGATTCCTCCCAGACCCCTCCCAAAGAGTCCCAAGAGGCCCCAAGAGGCCTCCAAGAGGCCCCCAAGATGCCCCCAAGAGGCGCCCAAGAGGCTCCCCCGAGGCACCCAAGACGCTCCTGGAAGCCCCTGGGGCCGCCAAGAGGCCCCCAAGACGCCCCAAACGGCCTCCAAGAGGCTCCCAAGAGGCCCGAAGAGGCTCCCCCAAGGCACCCAAGACGCTCCTAGAAGCCCCTGGGGCCGCCAAGAGGCCCCGAAGACGCCCCAAAAGGCCTCCAAGAGGCTCCCAAAACGACTCACACCACGACGAGGGCCCCGAACGACTCACACCACGAGGAGCCCGAACGAGTCACACCAGGAGGAGGGGCCCGAACGACTCACACGACGACGAGGGGCCCGAACAACTCACACCACGAGAAGCCCGAACGACTCACACCAGGACGAAGAGCCCGAACGACTCACATCACGAAGAGCCCGAACGATTCACACCAGGAAGAAGGGCCCGAACGACTCACACCAGGACAAGAAACCCCAAACGACTCAAACCACGAGGAGCGCTTTCTCTCCCTCCTCCTCCGCCTCGTCCTTCTCCCGCTCCCACCACAAGGAGGATGTACAAGGAGGCGGGAGGAAGGAGGAACAGGGGAGATATGCGGGGGCAGGCGGAAACACGCCTGAAAAACACGACTGTCGGCATGCTTCGCAAGAGTTGCTGTTTTGAGATGGGCTGGTGGGGATACGCGAAGCGTTATATATATATATATATATATATATATACACATACATATATATATATATATATACATAAAATCGTCCCCATACAAATTTATGACTATTTTAGAATTTGCCTCCTGTCGAGGGACGTGCCCGACTTCATCGCAGGTGGCCCTGCCTGCCTCGCCCCTTCCCCCTATCGCCCCCCTTCTGCGCACCAGCGCAGCCCGTTGGCCGAAGAGCCCAGCCCCAGCACGGCGAGCCCTACCCGTGCCGCTCAGCGCGCCCTTTCCCTCCCTCATCTCCTCCTTCTCGTGCTGCCTCCTCCCCCCCCTCCCTCCCCCCCCTCCCCTCCGCCTCCCTGCCTCCCCCCCCCCTCCCCCCCCCCCTCCCTCCCTCCCCTCCCTCCACAATTACTCAATATGAAAATACTCTCCCTCTTCCCCTGATGGCGTCCGGGTGATGGCCGCGCACCCTCCGCGTACTGTTTTTTTACACACAGGATGCCCGGGAAATCCCGGGAAACGACTCTCGCTGAGGCGCCGGCGTCATTTTTTCCCAAAATGCTGCTCTCGTTGAGGCGCCGGCCTCATTTCTGCTCCCGAATCGTTCCGAATCGTGCTCCCGCTGCAGCGTGGGCCTCATTTTCGGATCGGTGTTTGGCCTCCGTCGTTCAGGATGGCGTTCTCGCCCCAGCGCGGGCCTTTTTCTCGCGCGCCCATCCGCCCGCCACCACCGCGCCGCACCACCACCACCACCACCACCACCACCACCACCACCACCACCCACCACCACCACCACCACCACCACCACCACCACACCACCACCACCACACCAGCACCACCACCACCACCACACCACCTCACCACCACCACCACCACCACACCACCACACCACCACCACCACCCCCACCACCACCACCACCACCACCACCACCACCACCACCACCACCACCACCACGCACACACGCACGCACGCACGCACGTGCACCACCACCCACTACGCACGCGCGCGCGGAGCCACAGGTCCGCTACGACACGCGTCCGCGGATAGAGAAAATCAGCGCCATGGTAAGGGATGGGAGGGAGGGGTAGGACGTCAGATATGACGCGAGCGCACCTAGCTTGCCCCTCCCCCCTCCCTCCCCCCCCTCCCCTCCGCCTTCCTGCCTCCCCCCCCTCCCCCCTCCCCTGCCTCCCCCTGCCCCCCGCCCCTCCCGCGCCTGCCCCTGCCCCTTCCCCAGGCCCCGCCCTCCCCGAGTTCGCTCCCGAGCGCGAAAACCCCCCCGCGCCGGCCAGCCTCTTGGCTTAGGTCGGGCCTGTCCCCCTCAAGGGAGATGTTGGATGAAAAGTTGGAAGACCTCCAAAAATACACCCAAATAGTCAAAAAAAACAACAAAAATCAGGCCCCAGACTGTTCTTGGACTACTTTTGAACATTCCTCCTGTAGGGGGACAGTCAGTCAGTCAGTGGAGCCGCGCCGCACGGCGCATCGGCTAAACAGCACGGGATTGAATTCAGCAGTTCTGATACATAAACTTTCAGAAGACGTATAGCATGGCATGGATGGCATGGCGGTCTGCGCGCCAACTCTGGCAAGGGGAGCGGTCCCCTAGAGGGCAGACCGTGCGTTGAGCAAGTCGGAGACTTGATGAATCAGCACGCACACGCGGGGAAATGCGGTGAATACATCCTCTGGTGGCCCGACTTCACTCTTGGCCCGCCCCCCCCCCCCCCCGAGGCGGGCCTCCGCCGGGAACGAGGCCTCCCACGGCGGCGCGCCTGGGGCGCGCGCGCGCGCAGGTCGCGGCCCGCGCGGCGCCCCCCCCGCGGGCGCCAGCAGGCGACGGCGGCGACGGACCGCGACGAGGGCGGCGGCGGCGGGGACGACGGCGGCGGCGGCGGGGCCGACGGACGCCGGACGACCGAAGACGAGCGCCGACGGCGGCGGCGGCGGTGCCGACGACGAGGGGCGCCGAAGGCTTAAGCGACGGCGGCGGCGGCGGTGCCGACGGCGGCGGCCGACGACGGCGGCCCGACGGGGCGACGACGACGGCGGCGGGGCGCGGCGCGGGTCCGCCGCGGCGGCGCGCCGCGCAGAGCAGCACGGGCCCGGCGGCGCGCCTGCGAGGGCCCCGTCGGGCGTCACGGGAGCCGCCTCCCCCGCCGGCGCCTCGACGGCGGCGGCCTGGGCCGCGGCGACGGCGGTCTCAACGACGACGATGGATGACGAAGACGAGCGGCAACGCCGAAAACAACGGACGACGACGACGACGATGAGGAACGACGACGATGATGATGGCAACGGCGGACGACGACAACGACGACGACGATGACAGCGACGTCGACGTCGGCGGCGACGGCGACGTGAGGCAAATTGCCAGTCTCAGGGGGGGGGGGGGGGGGGGCGAATTCGGGACCTCCTCCTTTTGAGTCATGGGGCCCACTATCGCTCCCAAAAAGCCTCTAGAAGGCCCCATGACTCCCCAACAGAGCCCGAAGAGGTCCCCGAGAGGCCCCAGGACCCCAAGAGGGTTGCAAGAGTCGTCCAAGAAGCTCGCGCAACAATAGATCCGAGAAGGCATCCTCCTCCGCATCCTCCTCCCGGTCATTATCAGTTCCCCCCACTTCATCGTCATCCTCCGTCTGGCAATATTGACCCCAGAGGCCTCCACGAGGCTCCTAAGACAATTCGCTTGGGCATCGGCCCTGGATCAGGGGGACGTAAGACCTAGGTACATACAAGGGACTCGGAAATCCCCGACGAGGTCGTCAAAAAAATGACGAGGCCGAGCCTGCATTTTGACGAGGCCTCCCGCTGCAAACATCCCACGAAACTCCTCCTCGTCAAAATCCGAGGCGCGGTCGTCAAAAAACGATGGCGAACCCGAGTCCTGGCAAACCCGGGTCTTGCGCTCCCCCGACTGGATAGATTGATCGCTCTTTTATATGGGCTCCCCCGTCGTTGGTCGAATTCTATGGTTTATAGATGCTTCTGGACAGCTGATCCACTGCCTGCTATCACACGCCATGTCTTGATCATGGCAACACGCATGTGCTTCGTTTCTGTACCAGAGGCCGCCTCCCGAGCATCGGAGCGGCCCCTCTCTGTGTATATATATATATATATATATATATATAGATCGGCGTCCTGCCTGTCGGCTCCGATGCTGCACCTCTGCGGCGCGCCGGGGGGGGGGAGGGAGACGGGCAGCGACAGGGGGGGATATGCCCTGACCTTCCAGGAGGGCTAAAAGATAGCTCCAGGACGTCGACGTCCTAATTCCTGTCGAGGTTTGAGGCAGTCCAGATAGATCTATAGGTCTGGAGTACTATTTTTTAGCGCTCTGGAAGGTCAGGGTGGAAGGGGGGGAAGCATCGACCTGGAATCGGCGAGACATCGCCGATAGATCGGCAACATGCCTGCGACAGTTGATCCGCACATTCCTGGGCAGGTCGGGGCTGTCGGGCCCCTGTCAGCGATCAATGGGCGATTGAAGGTCGATGCATCCCACCCTATGCTTATTCCCCCCTATTGTTGGCCCTGAAAGGGGGCAGGCCTTCTCGGAAGGAATCGGGGCTTCTCAGGAGCCCTCGGGCCTTCTGAGCAACGCCCTGTGAGCCATCTTGCTTTTCTTCACTTCGCCGCACATTCGGCCGCAAAGGCGGCAGTGGAGAGAGAACATTCGAGTGAGACCTCCTGAGTCGGCCTCCGGACGAAACTAATTCCAATTGCCACGGGTAAAATTATTACAAAAGCATGCAAACCCACGTAACGTAGAGGCGAGCGCTATACGCATCGACGAGCGGAAAAGAACCTGAAGCGAGGAGGCGAGAAAGCCTCCAGTGGGAGTCACGACAAAGAACCTGGAGGTCCTACATAAGAGCGCACTCTGCCGCGCCGCCTCCGTATCTGCACTCGGGGGCGCCACGAGCACAGGCCTTGTTGGGGCGGGCTACACCCCTTGACCTGGACCTCCAGCGCCCTCGCACCTTACTCCGCCTGGCGCTCGCCCCTCGAGCAGGAGAGCAGCACCGCCCAGCCGATGCCCGCGACACCCGAGAAGGTGCCCCGCCAGGCCGAGGGCACGTAGGTGTAGTTGATCGGGGGCCGCAGGCGAACCCTGCCCCTGCCCCCCGCGACTTCTCAGGGGGAGGGCGGGGTTCGCTTCGCTCGGGGGGGCTCCCGAACGATGTGAACCCCGCCCCCCCCCTGAGAAATCGCGGGGGGGCAGGGGCAGGGTTCGCGTGTGGCCCCCTGGTTGAGCCACGCGAGCGGCAGGTAGATCGAGCAGAGCGATCGCGTGTCATCCCACCTGTTGGCGTGGAGGTCCGCCCAGACCCTGCCCCAGGCCGGGGTCGCGCTGCGGACGACCTCCTGCAGGGCGTAGTACACCGGGAAGTACAGGACCTGCACGGTGACCAGCATGTCGAACAGGATCACGGGCACTGCCCCCACTCCGCGGGACAGGAAGAGCCACGTGTAGATGGGCCCGTACACGAAGTGGTACACGCCCCCGCAGTAGGCTCCGAAGCCGGCAAAGGCGGCGCTGCGCCAGCGATCGAAGGGCGTGTGCCCCTTGACCTGCGCGATGTAATCGCCTCCCTGGTACCTGGCGACGTGAATGCCCACCGACGACAAAATCGCCCACTGCCCAAGTGCCGAGCTCAGGGACCTCAGGCGGCTCATCCGCCAGCCAGGTCGGCCGACGGGCCGGGGCGCCCCCGCCCTGGGCTGCCAGCCAGCGCAGCCGCGCCGTCAGCCGCGCCGCCCCGGCACCGGCTGCACCATGGCGCCGCCGAGGGCCAGGCACGCCCTCGGCGGGCGGCCAGCGCCGGACGACCTCGAGGAGAAACCTGCGGCCCGAGCCCTCGCCCCAGTGCCCTGACCTGGGCCCTGGCCCTGGACCCCGGGCTCTTGCCCCGGCCCCGGGGCCCTAGCATTGTGGATGCCATGGCAATGGACACTCTAACCGTCCTTTCATTGAGTTAGAGATGTGTTCAGCATGTAAAAAACATGTTCCAAAACCGTTTCAAACATGTGTGCTTGAAACATGTTTAACATGATTATAAAACATATTTCAAACATCTGGCAACTATTTGGCAGCACGCTTCCTCTCCCTCAAGCGACTTCCACAACCCTAGCACGCCCTACGCCTAGCCCTGGCCCAAGCCTCAGGGCCCCAGCGCGCCCTGGGTGCGCCGCCGAGAACCCCCCCCTACTCACCGAACCTACCCCCAGGTGGCATCGGGTGATGACTCGGGGCTCCAGCGGCAGTTCGGGACAATTCGGGCACCCCCGGAACGCTATCAGCGAGGCGCAGCCGCTGTGGAAGCCATCCTGAAACTGGAAAGCCACCGAGAGCAAACGAGAACCGCAGGAAACCTGGTCAAACCTCGAAGCCTCGAAACCTCATGCGGCACCCCACCGCATCCCCAGAACTCCGACGTCGGGTTTTTACACGCCATAGACCGCAGGAGATCTGGGCCCCATAACTGATGCTTCATCCCGGGTCGTTGTATCTGAAGAGGCCCTGGGAGACACAAAGAAATGCACACAAATAGCAGGATTCCCTATAGTGTCCAATATGTTCTAGGTTGTTTGTCCTCCCCACATTTCCCATGTTTTCCCATACTTCGGCGTAACGGAAGTTTCCTTGGAAACACGGAAAACCTCCTGACGACCCAGACAGGATGCCTGGGCGGCCCCATGGCCCCTAAAATGGTTCCACGACGGCCCCAGACGGGCACGAAGATGACCTCGATGCGACCCCAAGAAGACCCCGTGGCCCCTGCAGTATCCAAACGCAGCGTCGACATGGCCTGGGAGCGAAGCCAAGATGGCCCAACATGTAAGCGATACCCTGGATACCAGGCGCGGTGGCCCCAAAGCGACCCCAGGGTGACCAGAGCATTCCCAGAATACAACACCATGATCTTAAGATGACCTGGATGTGATTTCAAGATGACCTCAAGACGACCCGAACACGTCATACATTGGCGGGATTGGGTCCCACCGCGGGATTTATCCGGACCCTATTTTTCAAAAGTGGGATTTATGGTTGGCTTGACTAAAACTATTATTAGAACATGGGAAGTGCTCGCCAATGATCCCGCCGGCACCACGCAAGAGGGCCATCTTGCTAGGCTTCTAGGGGGGGAGGGGGGTTCAACGCATCCTGCCCCTCAACCCCGTCGGGGCCGTGGACAAGAGAATTCAGAAAATTCAAGGAACTTTCGGAGCGGCGATGTATTTTCTGGGATTAATTGTGTCTGTGTGTTTCTTTCCCTCCTGAGTATCACGGTCCAGAGGTTTTTTCCCCCGGCGAGCGGCCCTCGTATAAAAACACAATTCCTGTCCTCTGAAACGCTTGCCCCGCCAGAGTCACACACCAGGTGCAAACATTGCGTGAACGCCCCCGCGCGGGTAACGATACGAAATACCCCAAATTTGAATCGGTGAAACGGGGTGGAGAAAAGGGGGGAGGAGAAGAGGAGAGGGAAGCAAAAGAAATCCCTGATGGCGAATGATACGATTCCCCTTTGAAGCGTATCGGCCCCGCGGTTGCACGGAAATTGTGGTCTAGCCCCTACTAGGTGGCACAAACGGCCACCCTATGAAATCCAACGCTGCGCTGGATTCAGCGGGATGAGGCTGGATGAAGCGGGGACTCAGTCAAACAAGGCTGGTCTTCGAGAAGGGATACACCAACGCCGGTTCTTAAGCCAGCCTCCCAGGGACGGACAGACGGACCGACGGACGACGAGGAGGGGGAGCAGTAGGAGGAGCAGGAGGAGCACGAGAAGGATGAGGAGAACGACGACGACGACGGCAGTTGCATCCTGGCTCGGGCAGGGCTGGGGACCTTTTCGACCTGTTCTGCCCGTTCCCCTGGGCCTTTCCGCCAAAACGAAGACCAAAACGAGATACCGTCGGGGCGTTGACCCCAGGAACCCTAAATAATGCACGAGGCCCCCTTCTCCCACAAGTTACACTTCGATTTCCCATGGAAAACCTCAGGACAACCTGAGGCAAGCTGTAAAACCATCAGGGGACACCGAGCCCCTCCCCAACGAAAAGGGTTCCTTCTTCAGCGCCCCGACCGTACGCAGCAAAAGAACGCTCGGGTCCGGCCCTGGCCTCGGGTCGGGGGCGCGCAAACATGGATTAGCGATCCATGGATTTGGCGCGGGGTCGCCACATCCATGGATCGGGGGAGGTGCCCTCCCCCAAATGCGGCTGGTGGCGCCTCGCTCGGCGGCGGCCATCCGCGATTTTGGATGGAAACGGGGCCCGTCGCAAATCCACGCCCCCGTGATCCATGTTTTTGGACGCCCGAAATCGGCACGGAAAGAATGGGTACAATGTCCAACAACAAATGTTGTCCCAAACCAGCAGCGGCCGCTGTTGGGCAGGCGGCCTTCTGCCTCGAATGGACACAGGCCGCGGCGGCGCGGACAGCGAATCCTGCTCGAAACGAGCAGGAACTGGTGTTGGGCATCGTACCAATTCTTTCCGTGCCCATTTCGGCTACACGCAAGAGTGACCCTGGGTAAGAGTGACCTTTGGTGCGCGATTTTTAAGGCAAGAAGAGTCCGAACCGAACTGGTAACCGTGAACCGGCGGCTCCTGCAACCGAACCGCCCGAACCGGAGCCTGAACCGGACCGGCTGAAACCGGACCGGGCGGTTCGAACCGAACCGGCCGGTCGAATCCGGCCCGAACGGCAAGCCCGAACCGGGTGGAACCGAACCGGGCCCCGGGACTCCCCACCGGCCCCCCCGGTGCCCGCACCCCCCCCCCCAGATCATGCGCGACCCAAAAATTTGGGTAGCGAAACGCAATCTCGGTCGTTCCGCGACCGACCAGATTTTTCGGTCGCGAGTACCGGTCGCGACCGGTCGCGACCGTCGGTCGCTACCGGTCGCGACCGGTAGCGACCGATCAAGACCACAGCGGAGATCAAGGGTAGCGACCGATCAAGACCACAGCGGAGATCAAGCCCACAGTGGATAGTGGATCGACTGTGATATCGATACTTCAGCCGAGTCGTTCAGATCGATAGTGCGTTCGATGAGGCCACTCAGTATTCAGTGAGATTGTTGCTATAGTTATTCAATGCAGATAGATAGTGATACTGATAGGTACGTAGGTAGGTAGTGAGATCTATAGGTCGATATGCGATAGGTGGATAGTGATATCGATAGGTAGGTCGTGAGATGGATAGTGATATCGACAGTGAGATAGTCCATAGGTGAAGCCAATAGTGAGATGTGAGATCGATAGGTTAGTAGATTCGGTGAGATCGGTCAGAGGAGGAAGGGCGAGGAGCAGGAGGGGGAGGGAGGGAGGCAGAGGGGGAGGGAGCAGAAGCAGGATAAGTAGGAAGGAGGAGGACACCAGTTGTCCCCTCTCCCTCGCTCGCTCGCTCGCTCCTCCTCCTCCTCCTCCTCCTCCTCCTCCTCCTCCCTCTCCTGATCTGCCCTTCTCCTCCTCCCCCTTCTCCTCCTTCTCCTCCTCCTCCTCCTCCTCCTCCTCCTCCCCCTCCTCCTCATCCTCCTCATCCTCCTATTCCTCCTCATCCTCCTCCTCCTATTCCTCCTCCTCCTCCTCCTCCTCCTCCTCCTCCTCCTCCTCCTCCTCCTCCTCCTCCTCCTCCTCCTCCTCCTCCTCCCCCGCCTCAGTGGTGAGCAAACTGGAGCCTCGCCGCCTAATTATCACCACCATCCTCCGCCTCCTCTTCATCAACCTCCGTATCCACCTCCTTCTCCTCTTTCCCTCCTCCTTCTCCTCCTTCTCCTCCTCCTCCTCCCTCTCTTCCTCCTCCTCCTCATCGTCATCCTCCTCATCCTCCTTCTTCCCCTATCCTCCTTCTTCATATCCTCCTCCTTTTCCTCCTCTTCCTTCTCCTCCTCCTCCTTCTCCTCCCCCCACTCCTCCCCCTACTTCCTATCCTCATCCTTCTCGTCCTCCTCCTTGGGCCAAGGGGCCGTTAGCCGTGGGCCCTTGGGTTGTCGCTTCCCTGGGCCCGTGAGCCATTTTGGCACGTCCTCGGCCCAGAGGACGCCCGACAGGCTCCGCGCGGGAGCCATGGCCTCCCGCGACCCATCCCCTTCGCGGGCCCTGTGGGCTCAACCGCCGCTGCGCCGCCCAGCGGCGCCGCTCGGCGGCGGCCTCCAGAAGGCCTTGCTGAAGTTGGTCGTGGAGCGCGGCTCCACGAACACCTTCGACCTGGGCCACTATGACTGGCTCACGAAGGACAAGGCCGTCCACGCGCCGTCGCTCGCGGCCAACCCCGAGTTGGTTGGCGGGCGTTGATGAAAGGAAACAAGGGGGCAAGAGAGGGTGAGAAGAATTCCTCCCAACCTCCTCTTCTGTTCCGCTCCTTCCCCCTGCTCCTCTCCCTCGATCCTCCGTGTTCCGTGGCCATGTTTTAGGCTGTAGCGCCATGGCGCAGGCGTCGTGCCTGGTCATTCAGCTCGGCGGGGGCGACGCGCCCCCTGGCCTCGGGGAGCCATGGCGCGTCATGGAGGTCGGGGACGTCCCCCCTGGCCTCCCCCAGCGGCAGTACCGCAACCGCCAGGGCGTCAAGACGACCAAGCCCTTCAGGAGCTGGATCGAGCCCATGCTCCAGCAGGCTTCGCCCCGCCAGTGGGCCGCCTGCCCCGACGTCATCGCTGTGGTGCCTG